TATCTTAATGCTTCAGCACCCAAATTTAAGCTGTTGTAAAAGTTTCCTTTCATGCAAAACTATTAAACATCATTAAATATCTAAAAACTGTAGATATTTCACTCATTTTGACAACATTCTGTCTTTTTTACACAGTTATCTGCACATCTGTGCACCTGACTAAAGTTTGGCTCCTATTTTCTGCACTTAATAGCTGTAATCCACACAGTGAACTTAGATTTGACTAAAGAAACCGGAATAAATGCAGCTGTATCTTGCACGTTTCAGCTGGAGAGGAGCTTTAAGTTCATGAGGGAGACGGAGGATCAGCTGAGGATCATCCCTCAGTTCTGCTTCCCGGATGCAAAAGACTGGGAGCCAGTGGAGACCTTTCCCAGGTGAGCCTGGTGGAATAATTCAGCAGAATGTCGAATTCATCTAGAGCAGTGTTTTTCAACCTCTGGTCCTCGGTACACTAGTGTGTATCAGAGTGATGGTCAGGTGTGCCGTAGAAAATCATCCTATTTCACCTAATTGGTCTAAAAAGGTTTTTTGATAAGGAATTAATTTTCTGCAAATAATATGCCATTTTTGAGTGTCTGTGCTGTTCTAGTGACTGGTGGAGTAATCATGTAATAATTCCTTATGACTAGATTTTGTATATATTTTTGCATATTGAAGTGGACATGTTAAGAGCAATTTGAAAGAAGAAATATAAAATATGATAAAAATACATTTTTGTGTTTATTTTATTCCTATTCAAGACACTTAAGATAAGATAAGAGTAACTATAGTGTTACTATAGGTTACTACAGATTTACAGATTTTTGGTTGGTGGTGTGCCTCGAGATTTTTTTCAATGAAAAAATGTACCTTGGCTCAAAAAAGGTTGAAAAACACTGATCTAGAGAAAACGAGCTTGAGAAGAAGAGATCTGAGACCAGAGCTCATGGAGGCTTTTAACACGAGGGATTTTCATGTGTTTGATAAAAATAATCCGGTCTTTTTTCTTATCTTTCACAGCGAGATGTTCTCCTTCGTTCTGACCGGAGAGGACGGCAGCAGGAGGTTCGGGTACTGCCGCCGTTTACTGGTAAATCCAATAAACGAGCGCGCTGTTGCCGGGCAGGAAGTGGCCGAATACCACCTTTCCTCTCCCTAACCCTGACCCTATCCCGAACCCTGACCCTGACCCTAACCCTAACCCTGACCCTAACCATATCCCTGATCCTATCCCTAATCCTATCCCTGATCCTATCCCTATCCATAACCCTATCCCTATCCTTAACCCTGACCCTAACCATATCCCTAAGCATATCCCTAACCCCATCCTTAACCCTATCCCTAACCCTCACCCTATCCCTGACTCTAACCATATCCCGGACCCTATCCCTAACCCTAACCATATCCCTGACCCTATCCCTGGCCCTATCCCTGACCCTATCCCTGACCCTATCCCTAACCCTATCCCTGACCCTATCCCTAACCCTGACCCTACCCCTAACCATATCCCTAACCCTCTCCCTAACCCTATCCCTATCCATAACCCTGACCCTATCCTTAACCCTCGCCCTATCCCTGACCCTAACCATATCCCTGACCCTATCCCTGACCCTATCCCTAACCCTGACTCTAACCATATCCCTGACCCTATACCTATACCTAACCCTATCCCTAACCCTATCCCTCGCCCTATCTCTGACCCTTCCCCTAACCCTGACCCTAACCCTGATCCTATCGCTATCCATAACCCTATCCCTAACCCTGACCCTGACCCTATCCCTAACCCTCGCCCTATTCCTAACCCTATCCCTAACCCTGACCCTAACCATATCCCTGACCCTAACCCTCTCCCTATCCCTATCCCTAACCCTGACCCTAACCCTCTTCCTAACCCTATCCCTAACCCTAACCACAGAGATCTCTCCTCTCTCCCTAGCCCAGTGGAAAAGGCCGGCGTCTGCCAGAGGTCTATTGCATCGTGAGCCACCTCGGCTGCTTTAACCTGTTCTCTAAGGTGAGGGATTTCTCCCCGGCGCCCGTAAAACGCCCTCGTAAACCGAACCGCCCTCCTAACCCGCCGCTGTGCTAGGTGCTGGACGAGGTGGAGAGGCGCAGGGCCCTGTCCCCGGCCCTAGTCCAGCCCTTTATGAGGGCCATCATGGAGGCCCAGTTTCCAGCTCCGGGCAAAACCATCAACATCAAGACTTTCCTGCCTGG